AGACTGTCACCATTGCGCGCACGCAGAGGCGTATGAGGGTCTCGCACCCCGCAAGCAGGCGACGAGATGAGGCTCCTAGGTATACTTCCTAAGTCGTAGTTGCCGGAGAGGAGGTGAAGCTGGGCAAGGGTGACACTCTCCGGAACAACCAAAGGCCGGGCGGATCCTTGTCGATGCAGAACAACGGTAACCAAAGGCGGCGGGCTGGCAGGAAGCAAGGTAAGACCGTCTCGATGTCCTAGGCCGCGGCCCGGGAAGAAGGCACACGGCCAGCTCCCACACAAAGAGCTCCCAGCACCAGCGAAAATGGACCAAACGGCATCATGCGTAATTTCCCGACTCGGGCCGCAGCCGGCAAAGGGGCACATGGCACGAACTTGCAGGCCACCGCCTCTGGGGGCGAAGGTCCCAAAACAGTGCATGCGGGGTCGAGGGTTGGGATCCCAAACGGAAAGGGGAACAGTGGGACCACTTGCAGGGCCGTGTCTAGAGGCCGGGAAGAATTGTCGGCTCCGCGATCGGCTCCTAGCAATCCGAGTGCGTATCGTACGCGCCTCCTCGGAGTCTGGGCTGGGCGCTTCGCCGTCACCGGCCCCTCGGCTTACCTCAGGGAGGGAGAGGGCGACGACGATAAGAATGGAGGGGGCAATAGCAGGGCTCCATCCGCGGCCGACCCAACCGAGAGTCCCGGAAAGTATCAGCCAGAGCGAGCAACAGGAGCGATAGCACCAGGGAGCGGCTGACGAGCTTAGAGGGTCGCCGAATACAACATCCCCGTTACGAATCTCGACCCCGGCATCCAGAGCAGAGGATGTAATACCACCAAGAGTGAGCGAGCTCCTGTGCAAATCCGTGCAGGAAGCAAGGGCTTCGCGGTCCACATAACGAGGGACCGACCTGACACGCCGGCCGGCTGTCGTGGCAACCACCACATTGGCATATGCGGCAACCCCGTTAGCAAGCATCAGTTGGGGAATGCTGGAAGCTGTCCATTGCACAGGAGTCCACATGCCTGGGTGTTGCAGATGGAAGTCACCAGAAAAGGTGCATTGAACAGGCGCCCAGGTCTCACCTGCAGGGATGGTCACGAGGGTAGGGCGGTGACCCGGCCGTAGCAGATCCACGACTGTGTCACTATCGAGCCTAAAGCCGACGGCCCAGGGGGCGTGCTGACCAGTGCCGCTAGTTTGGATGTCCCAAGAAGCCTCGAACTCGAGGGGATCTTGGCACCGGTCCCTGTCGTGGAGGTATATCACATCGCCGTTGCGCAGGCGGCAGTCGGGCGGAGGCACGTCGTAGAACCTCCAGATCTCAAGGGCATGAGGCAGATGAATGCTCTCGATATCAGCACTGACCTGATGGGACGCGAAGGACTGCATCCAAGCGTCAGTAACCGTGCGCGGCATCAGTGTAGCTCTGGCAAACCCCCGATAATGCAGTATTGCCGTCACTGTGGAAGAGTCGCCACCAACCGGGACAAAAGCAAGAGCATTAAAGTGCGGGCCGGGCCAAACCGGAAAGAAGTCGACCGCCCAGGCAGCGTCATCATTCAGAAACTGAGCCCAAGCCACCGAATGGTCAGTGCCGGGATCCGTCTGATACGGTGGGAAATTACCGACAAAAGGACTATAGTAGATCACCTGTATCGCCCCGTCGGAGTTCGGTAGACGGAAGCTGCGCTCATGAGCAGGCAGTTGCCAGGGAAAGGATCCAGGCCGGTGCATGGCCGCGGAAAGAGACAGCCCGGCGAGCCACCACCAGGAGACTCCAGGCCGAAGCAGGCAAAGCAGCACGCAAAGGAGCCCCCACAACCGAGGACTGTGACGCTTCCCACCAGAGCTGCCTCCAAGGGTCCCCTGAATCTGCGCCTCCGCTGTTTCATGATCCACGTCCTCCAGACGAGCATATTCGGAGGCGGGTGTATGATCTTCGGCAGTATCGACCCGGAAACAGTCACCGGAACGAAAGGTGACCACGTCCTGCACAACATCAACGTGAGGCGGCAAATCCAAACGACCCCTAACGCCCTCAAAGGTGATGCTACGCAGCTCCCTCCATCTGGCGCGACGCGGCACACAGCAGGGGACAATGCGATTGTCAACGAGCAGGGCCACCGAGGCGAGGTGAGCATACTGGGGAAGGGCAATCAGATGCACTGCCGCCGAGTCGGGCTGGGGGTTAAGCAAAACAACGCCTCGCCAACCTCTGTTATCAGCATGAGCCTGGAGAACTCCCAGCGGGGGGATGTGCTCTGGCTCTTGATAACCCACCTCATGGCACTGGGCTCGAGCTGTAAAGGGATTATGAAACCGAAAGGGCGTGCCAAGGGGAATCGGACCATTGAGGAAGGCTGTGGCCGGGATCAGGCCATGCTGATGGCGAATCAAGCGATTCTGAACCCACCTAATAACCATGGGTGCAGGGAAACGCCGAGCAACATGCACAGACCGCATGGAACCTGGTAAATGGTTCAGGTCGGGGGGGGCAGTTTGGTCATAGACGAGACGTGCGTCCGCTGGGTCGGGGACATCGGCAGCGCCCGCAGGAAGCGGAGGTGGTGGCCCCGCTGGTCTGTAGTGTGGCCCATCTCCCGGGCGGTGTCCCTCCGGGACCATATCCTCAGGCACTGCGTCCTCCTCAGAGCCACTAGCGTTCGGGGAGAAGAAAGAGCCCCTCACACCAGCAGGGAAAAGGACGAGACCAAGGACCCAAGCGGTCAAGAATCCCCACCCTCTAGAACCGAAAAGGACCGTCCCAACAAGGCCGGCAAGGTGACCAAAGAAGACTCCGCGCAAAAGGGCTGGGCCGTGGATCCCGACGCATCAGGGGTGTCCGCGCCCACCGGTTCCTCAACCGTAGTCGTGGTCACGTCATCTGTGCCGGACGTAGGGGCCAACGGCGGTCCGCAGAAGACAGGCACTAGGGGCTGCGATGACGGGGAGGAGATTGGCGGCTGCTCGGGCGTGGCGAGCTCTGAAAAGGGAAGGGAAAGCAGACAGTCAGCCACGCCCTGCAACTGCAACACCAAGCCCTCCACCACAGACGCGGAGAGTTGCCGGTAATCGACAGCAACAGTGGAGTTGGTCTGACAAGCAGCCTCCCGAGTGGAGGGAGTATCCGGTACAGCGTCGGGAGCACCCCCCTGCGCAGGCGAGATAGCGTCTTCCCCAGCCGGGCCTCTCGCCGGCACGTACTGGAAAAAGGGGCCAGGGACGACCCAAGGGGTCGGGTCCCAGGCATCATCGCTAGATTCCATGGGAAGGGCGCCCAGCGGGATCTGCACAATGGACCCAGTTGGAACATCAGTCAGATGACAGCTAGGTGCAACTAACTGGGAACCAATCACCAGGGTGGGTCTCGAGCTGGGAACATTAAGCCCTTGATAGACTTCCTTAAGGTGCGTAGCGGCAATGTCCCAATCGAAGGGGTGGTGGCCATAGACCACACAGGCACGGTCCTCGATGTGAAATAGCCAAAACCGCGGTTGCCCACCCGTCGAGTGACTGAGTCTAGGCACAAAGAGCAGGTGCATGATGGAATCACCAGCAGCACCGGTAGTGGATAGGAATTGACCCGCGCCTCGCATCCCGTGAATGCTGCAAATGAAATCGTGGAGCCACCTGGTATTATATCCTTCTGGTTTCCAAGGCAAATCAACAGGTTGCCGCACCCCAGCGGTCCAAACTCGCAGGGTGTGGGGCCTAGGGGCAGCAGGAGCGGCTGGGACCGCCAGAGAGGTGCCGGGGATAGGCTCAGGACCAACTGCCTCGGCGCTTGAGGCCCAAAACAAGAGTACCGCTGTCCCCAGAAGTGCGCTGAACTTCCTAAGAAACCCTGCAGCAACAAAA